TTGGCTTGTGCCCTAGCCTCTCCTGAGTGGCAGGGGCAGTACGGGGGTGGGAAACGACACTGGATTAACCACCCCAAGAACAGCAGAAGCAAAGGCATGAGGCGGCAGGGGTTGGAGGTGATCACAGCAGAAAATCAAAAAGCATGAAGTGTGTTAAGGGAGCATAATTATGTTTAGGTTGAAAGATAACATTTGTCCTTGCTTTTCTATAAAGTTCCAAGATGACGAAAGATCCGAATGCTGGGGGCAGGATGCAAAAGCCGCCTGGCTAAAAGGGCACTGATACCAGGGCCTGAGTACTGAAATCGGAATAACCCAGGTTTACTCCACTGAACAGCTTTTCTTAGCAGCACTGAGATGAGCATCCGACCCCAACTCCTTCACTGACCCGAGTGTCAGGCGGCGCACTAACAGGGAAGCAGCATCTTGGCCTATAGTAAACGGAAACCAGGAGTCCCCTCTCAAAGTGAAAAGCTACCTTTATTACCAAGTAAAAAAAAGGGCGGGAGGGTGTAAGGGGAACAAGGTAACTGACCCTAGTGGCAAAGGACATAGTGCTAAGGCTCACTGTGTGTCACTGAGATCTGCAAAGGGACTGAGAAGCAGTTCCCACACACGGTTAGCAAGATGCCTCCTGGAGCACAGCAGCCGCTGACCCACAAGAGGCCTTGTATGAATCAGAGGGACTTACTGCCAGGCCCCACCTGGCCTCAGGGAGGTGTCCTCATTCAGTCCCAAGCTACACAACTGCACAGCAGCCCCCTCTGCTCTGTCTACCCCTAATGGCTCCAGTATAAAGACTGGAAGAACACAGAGGCAGTAGAGATTAAATCAATAGATCCAAGAAGTAAGAGGTAGAACTGATGGGACTTGAAATTCTAAGAAATGTGAGAAAAAGGGAAGAAAGAAGGCTGATGGATGAGTCAGCTGGCTTAGTGGGGGGGGGGAAAAAAAGTTGCCATCCGGCTAATACAGGAGAAGCAGGTCTGAGTTAGGAATGAATGCCAGTTCTGTTTAGGACAGTGAAAGCCCCGAGGGACATCCAGGTGGAGCTAGATAGATGCACAGGCCCAGGGCACAGGAAGGGAGCCTGGGCAGGAGCATCACTGGAAACCATGGAGTGGACATAACCATCCCAAGTGTGTACAGGGAACAGGCAGCAGCCTAGGAGAGAACTCAGATGGGGGGAGAGGGGGCATGGGAAGAGAAGCCTGAAAACAGTCCTTTATCAAAAGTATAGGGACTGCCAGTCTCTGCCTCAGGGCCGTGAGGTCACAGAGCAGGAGCCTCGGGGGTTTTTTTGTTTTTTTTTTTTAATTATTCTATGTATTCTTACTTCCTAGCTCCAGTGCCAGGCCTTTGAATTTTCGCAGAATTGAGGATCTTCCTGAATCATATCCAAACCTTGTACATCCAAACCTAGAAAGTGGCTGTAAACATTCCCTAATCTCTCACAAAAAGTTTGGTTACATCTTTACACCACCTGCTGACTAAAGGCTAGACTAATACTAAACACTAAGCTTATTTTTAGAGCAATACTACTACCAACCATCTACATTTCCGTTTACTTTAACTCTGTGCTAAATACTCTCATAACTGCTAATGAAAACTTAGTGGCTGCATAGATAGCAGGAACAGAGAAGGAACCAGAATTGCAGTGAAGAGAAAATTACTGCACACACACTTAAAGCCTGCTTACCACCCTAATACTTACAATTAAGTAGACAAGCTTTAAGCTACATCATTTCAGAATTATCGTCAGTGATTCTAAAAATTACAGGAGGCAGTGTGCAGGACCTTAAGTCAAACAGACTTGAGATTCAAACCATCAGTCCATCCCTTATGAGGTATATGTCTTTGAGCAAATTATGTTACATCTCAGCCTCAGTTTCCCCAACTGTAAAACAGGGCTAATGGCCATCAAGGACCAAATGTAATGACACAAGCACAGTGCTTCACACAGGGCCTACCTAGCAAACGGCAAGCACTCGAGAACAGCCAGCTATTATTTTCATCACATACATTAAATCTGTTTCCCCACGGAGCCAGTCATGTTACCTGATTCTTATCCCCTTTAGCCTAGAAAGATATTCTCACATTGTTTCTTAACCCCCTTCCCAAGCCCCTCAATCTTGGATTCATAAATCTTATCTTTGCTTTACTTCCTTGGTTCCTCTAATCTATCATCTCTGAATTTAACAGAGCTATGGATAGGAGAAAAATGTTTTAAAAAAGTCTTAAGTGATTTTTTTTAAAATGTCCACTGCATAGATAATGGTCCTGTGACTGGCTGCTCCCATGTCTGTTCCCAGTGTCCGGCCTCCCTCAGAACTCTGAGTGGATGGGGTCAGAATGTGGCTCAGGAGGATCAGGACTTGCAGAATCCGTGTTTGAAGGACTTGACTCTCCAACGGGCTCAAAGGGTCGCAAGTTTGCGTAAGTCACCTCCTGGGCCAGCTGCTCCAGGGAAGGGCGGCCCAGTGCCAGATTTCGAAGTGAAATACAAGTCATCAGGAAGCTGGAAAAGAAGGAAAAGCCTCCCAGTCCAAATGCCTGCTTCAACACACGGGAATCCCTGCCAAAGCCAGCGGGGCACCTGGCCCTACCCCTCACCCAGGCACAACTGAGAGCCTCCCCCCGCTGGCCCCTCCCTCCATCCCAGCTGGAGAAGCATCTCGCTCCTTCCACAGTCTGGCAGAGGACTCCAGGGCTGGGTAGGAATAACCCACGGGAGGCTGGAGATGAGCTGAGGCGGAACAAGGCAGCCGGCCACCAGACATGACATTTACTCTTCCATTCGGTCCCAGAGAGGAGAATGGGGAGGGGGAAAGAGACTTAGCACTGGACGGTCCTTTCCGGGGAAAGAGTCCCCACCGTTACCCTCACCAGAGGAAAGTTACCCAGCTTGCAGACGTCTGATGGCAACAAGTACGGCTGTGGGTAAAACTGACCTGCGGCGAAACACATAGAGCTTTCGCAGCCAGAAGCGCACGAGTCGCTCGTGGAAAGGGGCATTTCGCCGGCGTTCAATCTCCTGGAGCTTTTGCTGGCGTCTAAGAAAGGTCTGAACCAGAGGTGTCGGCTCGGGGCCCCCTTTTACTTCCCCTTCCAGCAGAGGCTGCAGCTCTGGAGGTAGAGGCCCTGTTTCTACCCGAAAGAAGACAAAAAGAGGAATCATCGAGAGAGAGTGTTCTCTCTCCTGCAGCTCCCTTTTCATCAGTTAGACACTTCAAGTTCCTTCTTGAATCCTTATTCACAACCCTGACTGCTTGTCAAGGGGGCTACCGCAGCCCAAATCTTCATAAACTCACCACTTCCATTCTCCACTTTCTCCTTTAATTCTTGCAGATACGCCAAGTCTTGCTCCAGCGCAAGCTCCGTGGTGTTGACATACATGTACATGTAGCAGGAGGGGCGGGACGATGTCGTGTGCACCTTATGGTACTCGCCCGCAGGCAACTGCCAAGGGGGAAGGCAGGTACACTGCATCCTCAGCCTTCCCTGCAGCCGTGAGCTCCCCGCGCTACCTCACCCGCCCTGCCCCCTGCCGCACACACGCCCAGACATCTTTGTTCCTGTGGTTGTGAGTCCAAAGGAACTGAGCTCTAGGATCCTGAATGAGGCTATCTGCAGCCATGAGGCCCTTGCTTTTTAAGCCCCCACTGCAGCTGCATTAATGTAACGTTACAGCATTTTGAGTCCATGATAAATCAACTCCACTCATCTCAGCTTTCATACCATTATGAATTCAGGCAGAATACCTGCATCTTCTCTCCCTCCTGAAGAGTCTGGTTCCTCTGTTCCGACACCAGCTCCACGGTCACCTCCCCCTGCAGCAGCTGGATGCTTGTGTTGCCCAGGTCTTCGCTCACGAAGTTCTCCAGGTGCAGCCCTGCCAGGGGCAACAGCTTCTCATCCCACCCCGTGGGAGAGTGGCTCACTCCCACACCCTCACCGCCACCACCCCGTCAGGTTTCACAGACATTCCTCCCCGCAGGAGCGCCCCCCCCTCCATCACAGGTCCCTGGCCAAGGAAGCCAGGAGGAGCGACAGCAAAGCCTCCTTGCTCTCCTTCCTACCAGGGAAATCTGCGATGAAGACCACTTCTGTGTGGTTGTCCAGGCTGCTCTTGATTTCCTGTAACTTGGTCCTCCAGGGAGACAAGTCCATCAACAGTGGCTGCAGCCAAGGTGTGCGCCGGAAGGGGGACCAGGCAGCCTGCACGATGTCCACGCGAGGGTCAAAAATCCTTAGGAAAGAAAACTATGTTCTAAGGAGGCCACAACCACCTTCACACCAGAATTTCTGGTTCTGTTCATCACAGGGCTTTCCAGAAAGAAGAAATGGCCTGTGCCAGCATGTCATTGCCAGTTTGGGACAGAGAGAGAAGGGGAAAGAGATTCTGGAGCACTGGGAAGAAGTGGGGTTAGTGGCAACCTGAGGAGAGTTGTGTTAACAGCTTCTGAGATAAGTGAGTTACCTTTTCTTCGGGATCATGGTGCCCCCTGCTGGAAGCAATCAGCTATGCCCACAACCAGGTCAACAAGGACATGCACCAGAGGACAGCCTTTCAAGCAAGACAACACTGGGGAGCATGGGCTATTCATCTTGGCAAAAAGAGCTGGACTTCATTCCCTTCTCCGCTCCCCTTGCCCACCTCTGCTGGAAGCGGTCATTGATGGAGACCCAAATATCAAAGTAGATCTGGGGCTCAGTGACATTGTACTTGGGAAGCAGGCGGCTCAGGCAAGTGGCATATTGCTTCAGCATGTCGGCATGATCCTTCCATCGCCGGCTCTGTGTGAATACCTGCCCCAAACCCCCACGTCAGTCCCACCTCGTTGTCATCAAGCTCCCGGGCAGGTCATGCACTGCCAACGGCACAGAGAGATCCCTGCCTGCGGCCAGTTTTGACCAGAAAAGGCAAAAAGAAAAAAAAAAGACAACAAGACAACTTTGTCTTTCTGGAAGAATTTTTCATCTCTGGGCTAGTGGTACTTACCTTTCCCAAATCTAATCTCAGTTCAGGAAAGTGACTGACATCGCCCCATTTCACCCCCCAACAAAAGATGTGTCCTTTGGCTGGAGCCGTGTGGAACAAGTGGACCCAAATTTGTTATTTTATGACTGTGTTTAGGACCAAACCCAAAGCTCAACGGAGGCTCTGAAGACCAGCAGGTTGTCAGCACCAGACATCTCACCCCAGGGTTAAGGTAGCCCAGCTCGCCGGTGCGGCCATCGCGGTAGGTGACCTTCACGTGCTGGTGGGAGCGCGAGTGCACCATCATGTCCCAGGAGTAGCCGTACAGCCCGTTGGTCCAATTGTTATAGCCCTGAGGGGGCAGCGCCGCGGGAATCAGCTCGGCGGTCCACACGCCCATCCTTTACCAAGACAAGCTCTACAAGACCAGCCCATTCTCTCCCCAGCGCTGTCACCTCCGTCCCCAGCCCACACACACACCTGGGTGAGGAAGTGGGAATAAGGCAGGAAGAGCTGCTCCAGGAGGTAGAGCAGGGTGAAGGCCGCGCCCAGCCGGTGGCGCCGCCCCAGCTTCTGGCCGCCCTTGGCGCGGCCCCTCTTGTACACGCAGGAGGCACTGGGCTGAGGGGCAGCCCTGAGGGGCAGCAGTCCTTGCAGCCTTTTCGGGCAGTGAGCGACCAGCTTCCGGGGCCACTCGGGAGAGCAGAAGAGAGGGCTGCTGGCCAGCATGACGTAGGGGAACATACCTAGGAAGGCAAGGAGAAAATCGGCACTTCGGGAGTCTGGCTGGGGAAACGTGTTAATCCCCTCAACCCCCTTCCCCTGGGGCGCCCCCACCCCCAGGCACTCCGCTGGCGGTGAAAGCAGTCCTCACCTAGAGAGGAGCTACACAGCGTGCCAGCTGAACCTGGAAGCCCCCACCCTCTCCTCCCCGCTTGTCTCTGTCTCCCAGAGACCGCGCCCCGCGTGGTTCAGCTCGGGCGCCCGCCACCACCTCCCATGCCCACATGTGCCTCTGCAACCCGGGGTTTCCCACTTCCTGCCAGACCACAGGACTGACCGATGCTGAAGAGCTGGGAATTCATGCAGTGGAAGTAGGACACGAAGAGCAGGCCGACGGACCTCGAGGCGTCAAAGAAGAGCAGGAAACCAGCCGAGAGGTCGAGCAGCAGCCCGCACCAGTGCACCACCAGCAGGCTGGTCATCTCCTCGGACAGCACGAGCCTGCGGACGCCGGCGACAGAGGTCAGGCGCCAGCACTGGAGAACCCAGCACTCCTGGGGACCTCTCTACCCGGGCCCTGCCGGAGGGTCCACCCCAGCAGGTGGACAGAAGGACTCTGCACAAAGACATCCTTGGGCAGAGTTTTCCAACCCCTTTTCGTTTCCGTACACTCTGGGTGTCTAATTTTTTTCAACAGACCCTACGTAATAAGTAAGAGTGGATCTCCAGGGCAAAACTGGGTTGAGAAGAGTGTGGGTCGTGGAGGGCAGGTTCTTTGTGGAGGTCATACGGGACGTGAAACTTCAAAAGGGGAACGTTTGACTAACACAACAATGATGTCAAACTTCAGGACCTGGGAAATAACAGGGAAGAGGAAAAAGAACAAGGTAAAACCAGAGGCAGGAAGAAATGGGAAGAAGAGAGAAGTCAGGGAGGAGAAGCTCCAGTCTGTTTTGTAAAGAGCTGGTAACCATGGTTTTGTCAGGGCTGATTGTCCACCTCCTCGTCACGCCGGCGGTGGGGGATCCTGACCCAGAGGCCGGGGAGGCAACCCAAGGACAGAGACACCAGAGACACGGCAACTGCTGGGGGCACTGACTCACTCACCAAACCACCTCGTTCTGGCGCTTTCCTTTCCTTTATTTCTTTTCCCTTGGTTTCTGCCCACGCTGAGTCTCCTGGGCGGGGGGCACCTAGGCCTAGATCTTTTGATATCACTGACCCTGCCTTCTGCTGAACAGGAAGATGAGCGGGCAGAGGGAAGCACGTGGAAAGTTCAGGCCAAGTGGAAACAGCCGCCATTACCGCAGGCCTGAGGGGGGCGCCACCCGCTCTGCACCCCGGCTGCAGAGGCCTCTGCCCTGCTGCTCACTTGAAGGGACTGAAGAGCCAGTGCCGGGACAGGGACTCCATGGAGTAGCCTTCAACCCAGTCTGCGTCCAGCTTCTTCACACCCGCAATGAAGTACACAATGAAGATCTGCAAACACAAAATGCAAAACGAATGCTCAGGCAGAGTCAGAACCTTGTTCTCTACAGACACGAGTAAGTTCTGAGCTCCATTCAAGGCCCAAAGAAGATCAGATCCACTCCTCTATTCGCTCATCTCAGATATCACTCACCCGACAAGTATTTTCTGACTTCCTACCAATGCCAGGCACAGTATTAGGCACCAAGGAAAACCACGAAGCATAGATGTTACTCTTTCTCTCATGAGGATTCTAATCTAGCAGGAACAAAGCTCTATTCTTGCTCTGACAAGGTGAAAGAACCCAGAAGTGAGGGGACTGGAAACAAGGGAAGAGCCAGCCTCGCTGGAAAGAGAAGATCCGAGGGGCAGAGCAGAGTGCAGTCCGGCTGTGGGACGGCCGTGCTGACCGTGGCTGGCGAGAACACCTCCCTCTTCCCGAAAACCCTGTACCTGGCCCCGCAGCACAGCATAGTTCCAAAGGGGCACGTGGGCATTCCGCTTCCGCGCACTCAGCAGGCCGTCCACAGACCTGCAGCAAGGGAGAGGAGGACTGAGGAGAGCTGCTGAGTCCAGACCCATTTCCACCTTGCTGATGGAATGTAACAATCTCTCAGGCGGAGGGTATAGCTCAAGTGGTTTAGCTTGGGTGGGGCTCTGGGTTCAATCCCCAGTACCTCCCCTAAGAAAAAATAAATAATTAAACCTAATTACCTCCCCCTAACAAAAATGAATGAATAAATGAGTGAATGAACGAATGAATGAATGAAAGAATCTCTTCCCCAGGACATCTCCCATCTCCTCTCTGGTCCTCTGGACTACTCTGAGGCCCTTTAGGAGTATATGAGCATGCTGCGACAATGATTATTTTAAGTCATAACAGAAATATTACTAGTGAGTTCTAACAACAAAAAGTTCAGTGTTTACCATGTGCTGGTAAACAAATTAGTTTGCCCTAATGAAACAACTCAGGAAAAAGACTACAATGCTAGAATATGACTGAATGTGAAAAAGAATGAATCTGAGGGAACATCTGAAAAGCTAAAGGTGTATGAAAATATGGAGAGAGAATTTTTTTAAAAATTTCAACATCCCAGAGAAGCTGGCATTTCGTAGACCTGGACACTAGGGTCTAGTGCCAGAGGGTGCCTGCTAACAGCTTATCCAGGGTGAGGACCCGTAAAACCAGGCCACTGAGATCAGATGTATTCTGGGGAGGCAGAAGCAAAGCAAGTTTTCAAGAAGACAAAGAGCAGAGAAGCTGAAAGGGGCAGCTTACGCTCGTGGCCAAGAGCGCTGGGGTCTGCAGTCTTGGAGATCTGCATTCTCGCTTGTGCCTCTTACCTGCTACACGACCTGAGGCAAAGCCTTTACTTCTCTAAGCCTTAGTTTCTTCATCTATAAAATGGGAACAGCACTATGGACCCCACAGGGTTATAATGTGGAAAAAATCAAAACTGTTTAGTATAGTGTCTGGTATGTAGAAAGCCTTCAGTAAGTGATGGGTCTTTTTTCAAACTGTGAAAAAGTCATAAAAATGAAACTTTTCAGGAGTACTCTGTCAAAACGGCCTCTTGATTCTTTATGATCAGAGCTGGCCACTCTGAATGAATGTAAAGGTTTACAAAAGGGGAATCTGCATGTGTGTACTGATGAATGAAATTTAATTAATGACTGATAAATCACTAACAAATCCGATGTTTGACGTATTTCCCCCCATGCCCACCTTACTAACAGCTCATACTTGCTTTTCACTTAAGAATGAGAAGACTCCTTAAAGGTCATCTGTCCTACCACCCTGTCTCCAAATCCCTTCTCCACCTGCCCTGAGAGATGGTCTCCTAAGCCAGAGGCGGGGGAGGGTTCCCTCCTCCCAGGACCGCACAGCTGAGCAGCCCTGGCAGGCCCTCTCCTTCTGACATGACTCCCTCACAGTAACTTCTACTCTTGGCTCTAACTCTGCCCCTCTGGGCTCACACAGAGAAAGTCTGCTCCCTCTTGCACATGACCACCCTTGAAGTATCAGAAAACAGCTATGTCTGGCTTTAGTCTTCTCTTCTTCTCTCTAAGAGGATTACAGGAAGTGGACAGATCAAGGCACCTGGGGAGATAGGGAAAGAGTGAAGGGGTGGGAATGGAGCCATTTTGCTTTCTGTCATCCGAAGTGCCCCAACCTCACTGACCCTTCTCCCTCCCAAATCCACCCAAATCAAAATGCTACCTGTAACCACACTTTGCAAAGCATGGTTGAAAATACACTTGCTAGGACAAATCCTAGGACCTCACTGGGCCCCCATCTCTGGTAACCATCCTGATGCAGCCAACCCCTCCCTCTTTTCCCCTAGACTCATACCAGTAGTGGTTTGCATCCAAGAACGTCAGCTGGAAGGCCAACAAACCATACAAATAGGAGTGGTTGTTCCATGACGTCTTGTCCAGGAGAAACACATACCAGTATGGCAGTAGGAATAACACACAGCTTATCCGGTAGCACAGGCCCAGCATCACGCCCAGTGCCCCTGGGATTCGTGGGGAGAGGATTAAGAGGTCAAAGAGTCACCACAGGCCCATCTCCCCTGGGACAGGCTGCGAGGGGGATTAAGAAAAGTCATCAAGACATTTTATAACCAGGTAAAAATAAATTAAGTGTTATTTTAATATTTTTAAAGAGAGTTATGGGGTCACAGCTCAGATGACACACAGGCCAGCAGGATGAAATTATGTCCCGGAAGAAGTGAAATAAGAAACCCATGACCTTGGGCATTATACCAGCATGCTCTGTATTTCTGGGTTTTAGGTAGCCCAGTCAATACTCCCACCTCTGCTATAGATTCCCTCACCCAGAAACATGATGGTGTAGACAAGATACATCCAGTCAAGAGGCAGTGGCTGCAGGGCATCCAGCAAGGGGAAGCGGCACACGTCCAGCCCGTCCAGGTATCTTCGGTCCAGGGAGCTGAGCCCCCGCTCCTGGGGAATGTCCAGAACCATCAGCAGCCCTGAGAAGGCAGAGGGGGAGGGGGCCGATGGGCCTCAGCAAAGGGAGCCATGGAACACTCTGGAATACAGTCGAGCCCACCCAGCTCCAGGGTCAGACTTCTTTCCTAACCCTGGAAAGAATTCATTCAACAATAATTACTGAGCGCCAGCTCTGTGCTTAAGCATCATGCTGGCTGTTGTGATCTGACAGTTCTCCATTTGTGAAAGGGGCTCATACTGTTTTACAGGGTTTCAGAGAAGATTAAATGAGAGAAGTATACAAAGTGTTATAAAAGCTGTTCAGATTTTCATAGTTGTATTTATAAAGGTCTGTCCTACTGGGTGATGCTTCTCAAAATTTTTCATTTCCCAGCACAGCAGTATTTGGCCAACGCTCTGGGGTAAACAGAAGGGGCTACTCAGGTCAAGAAGACAGCTCCGGTTAAGGCAGGATTTCTCAACCCCAGGACTATTCAGAGTTTGCACTGGTTAATTATTTGCTGTGAGGGCTATCCTGTGGTTCATAGATCATTCAGCAGCGTCCTTGGCTTTTGTGTAGATGCCAGTAGCCACCTATTCCCTCTCCCCCTCAAGCTGTGACCAATAAAAATGTCTACAGAAGTTGCCAAATGTCCCCCAGAGAGCAAAACTGCCCCTATTTGAGAACCACTGGGTTAAGGGGAGTAATATCTCAGCATATCCGTAACCCATTCCAAACATAAAAGCAGTGCCCTAAGAGTTAGGAAGCCCTGGATGAGGGTGTCCCAGACAAAATGTCTGCCCTGTCACCCCTGCCGTTTCTCTGAAATCTAGTCCTTAGCATAGTTACTGAGCAACTTCATGCCACCAGTGAAATAGGTTCCTGTCCCTCTGCCTCTGTATTTCTTATAGCCTCAAATCAAAGCACTTCTGGCCTTCAAACCCTAATCAGAGGAGACAAAACTGGGTTTGATCCTAAACTTCACAAAGACCTCTTTCAGGATATCAGTAACTTCAGCTCTTAGGAGAAGGAAGGTAAGTCCACTAAGCAAGCAAGCAACCAAGAAATGGACAAGAGACAATTGTATTCTCCCACCCCAACCACGCTGGCCCCTCCCAGAAACTGGACTTACCAAAGAGAAAACGGAAGACTGCGAGGCTTGCGGGATCCGTTGGTCTGTTCAGCAGGGTCACCAGCCTCCCCCAGCTGGACACATCTGTCCACTCAAAACCCAAGAGTTTCCCCATTCGGCTGCCCTGACGGGACCCTGAGGTCTGTCCAGCCTTGTCTTTCTGTACTTTATCTGCAACCAATCAATGGAGAAAGTTGTGTGTACGCGTATGGGAGTGGGGATGCTTTAAAACAGGCTCCTCCTCAAATCACAGAAATCAGTCCCAGGGCTTCTGTCTACCTGGGTTCTCCCACCTAACTCTGACTACCCGAAACATCCCTGCAGTGCAGCCCCTCCTCCGGGACCCCCCGCAATGTCCCCAACACCTGTCTCAGACTACAGTCCTCCCACCGCAAAGCGCCCTCAAATGTCATCATCACCCCGAAGCCAAAAACGAAAATCTCTTTCCACAAGCCCCTTTCCAACAGAGCCCCCTTCTCCAAGTCCCACCCGGCAGTCCTCCCGCCCTCACCCCTCTGAAACCCGCGCCCCTCTCTATTCGCCACAAGGCGGGGCTCTGAGCCTACCTGAGACAGGCGGGACCCGCGCGGACCGAGCAGACGCCGCCATGGCCCCGGGGAGGTAGGTCGGCCAAAGCAGCAGCGTCGGAGCCGGGGGCGTCGCGAGGTCAGCCTCGCTGAGCCCCTCCTCCCCGACACATCAGCACCCGCGCGGCCGGCCGGAAAGCGCCGGGATTGTCGTGAAGGGCCCTAGTTGGCCGCCAAAGACTCCCTGCTTGGCGGCAGAGGGCGGAGCAAGGGGCCTTGGGGCGGGGCGGGGCGGGGCGGGGCGGGGCGGTTGCGAAGGGGCGTGGCCGAGCCCCGCCTAACCGGGTGACACGGGAGGAATGAAGATTCCACCGGACCTGCAGGTCTTCTGTGGAAAGACCTGTTTCTCCGCTGGGCCGTCCCGAGGCCTCTCCGCGCTTTCAACCTAAGAAGACTTGGAGTGCCTGCGACTTCCCTGCGTCCCTCCTCGCCCCCATTAGGCCTCTCCAGGTTGTTGTGTCCCTGCGGTGCTCCTTGCAGTGAGCAGTGCGGGCGCAGATGTCAGACTTCCCAGAAAGGTTGAGCGCCGAGTTGAGGACGCACCTGGAAGGGTTGCACTGGCCCAGGGAGAGTGTGCGAGTTCCTTTATTCATTCTTCCAGTACCTGCCAAGAACCAGAGGTTTGACAGCTGCAGGGGAAACCGGAACAACGTAACTGCAGAGGGGATGCAGAACAGGGGCAGTGAGTAGAGTAGTCCATCGGGGAAATTCTTTGAGAGATGAAGTCTTTTTTTATTAAAAAAAAACCAACAAAACATTTTTTTATTGAGTTATACTCATTTTACAATGTTGTGTCAAATTCCAGTGTAGAGCAATTTTCCAGTTACACGTGAACATATGTATATTCATTGTCACATTTTTTTCACTGTGAGCCACCACAAGATCTTGTATACATTTCCCTGTGCTGTACTGCATAATTTTGTTTATCTATTCTACATATGCCAGTCAGTATCTACAAATTTTGAACTCCCAGTCTATCCCTTCCCACCCCCCTCCCCCTTGTCAATCACAAGTTTGTATTCTATGTCTATGAGTTTGTTTCTGTTTTGTATTTATGGTTTTTTTTAGATTCCACATATGAGCGATCTCATATGGTATTTTTCTTTCTCTTTCTGGCTTACTTCATTTAGAATGACATTCTCCAGGGACATCCATGTTGCTGCAAATGGCGTTATTGTTGTCGGGTTTTATGGCTGAATAGTATTCCATTGTATAAATATACCACATCTTCTTTATCCAGTCATCTGTTGATGGACATTTAGGCTGTTTCCATGTCTTGGCTATTGTAAACAGTGCTGCTATGAACAC